TTTTTCAATCGAGAATATCTATATTAAATCATCGATATTTTAAAGGAAGGCTTTGAGATCCCTGATGAAAATGAACAACAACAAAGCATTGAACAAGATTTTTAAAATAAGGCGGTGTGTCTATATATATATATATATATTTTATATATTTGTTTGTATGTGTGTCGGTTATTTGTGACTCTTTTCCGCTTATTTGCATGGATTGAAAGTCTAAAACATATATTGAACATTATATTGTCAATTTTAGGAAGGTTTTGCGCAACCTGATCAAGAGAACGATACTTATGATTTAGATAATGAAAATATTAATAATGACAATGGTGCTGGTCTAATTGCTGGCGATGATGAAACATATTAAAAACAACATCAACATAATTATGTCAAAATTCTTTTCTTTTTTTTTTTCAATTTGCATTCACATCCTTTTTGGTTTGTTTTGTTTTTCTTTAAAATTCATTTCTTTTTTATTACTTTTTTTTGTTTAGTTAAACTACACTCGATTTCTAATAAGCTAATTTGTTTTTTTCTTCTCTATGAAATAGATGTGCGCATTTTCCTTCCACTCGATTATTTATATCTTGATATATGTGTGTTTTGTGTGTATATGAAAGTTAATACAACAATATAAGAGCATGCTTATTAAATTTTAAAAATATAAATCAAAATAATAAATACGAAACAGATTACTTTAAAATTCAATATATTATGAGTATATTATGAACAAAGATAAATTTTATTTGAACTGATTGATTAAATGAAGTAGAAAAAAATCGTGTAAATAGATAAAATCACTTCTCTGTTCATATTATTGAAGAAGTTAATGAGAATGAATTTATTTAGTTATTATATGCACGAAAGCCTATAATATATAATATACAATCATGATTTTAAATGAAAAGATGACATATAAGTCGAGGTCATATGCAATATGAATGATTTGTATAAAATAAGAACGATATATGTATAACAAATTCGATTCGTTCAGTAGATATTTTTATGAAGGAATTCTGAATTATTAGATATACGAATAATTTTCTTTGAATATTGGATTCAGTGATATTGTCTTTTCTTTTCGATATGAAACTCATTAATCCCACGAATTATTTCTTTTTCGAATCATTTGTTTCATTCAATTGATATTTTTAAAAGTACATTAAATAATTTCAATATTCTTATAAAATACTGATCTTTTCAAAACAATATTTATACTCTTAAAAATCATAATCTAAGATTTATTTTTGTGGAGGAGGGTGTGGATGTACTAACTACATCGGATCCACACCCACACCCGCGAAACCTCAAAATGGTTTAGAATTCGTTGCAAACATCAAAACTCTTTCAGAGCTTCGTTAGACGTACGAAACGCTTCTTTATGTTGCTTTTCACGGGTGGGTGAGAGTGTTACATTTATTCTCAGGTACACCAACACCCTTCGATTTTCCTAACAAAACTTACAAAGACTTATTTCCTTTATGCTAACTTTTGGCTAAAGAAATGCGTTGTTTGTTATTGCACGACAGAAAGAGAGAGTCAATACTTTTAAAGATTCTTTGCATTGTGTAATATTACTTCGAACGTATTCATGGGATTTTTTCTGTTATCATTTACAAAGAGAGAAGAAACTCTCCCAAGATAAATAATATTGTTATCAGTTGGAAAAAAACTGAGTGCTTCTTATCAACTTTGAGAACTGCCTTTGTTTGCCACTCTTTCAAAGTCAACAAAATATCAAAATTTCATCCGACATCGTATATAAACGGTGGATTGTGTATGCTGTTCGCTCTTTTATTCGTTCCGACGATACAAACTATTAGCAACACATATGCTGAAAAATTAGAATAGCAACTAATTTACAAATAACCAAAGTGAGTAAATACTACTCAACCTATCTTCTTTCTCAGATTTCTAGGGAACGGTTGAGGGAGAGGATTTGAAAACTATACAAAAGAGATTCTGAATAGTAGAGCAAAAATAGTATTACTCACAAGAAAATTTCATACTTCCATCAGAGCAACATCGATGTCATAAATAGTTAGGATGATTCTACTTTGTTCTATTCTTTTATCAGAAGATATTCACCATGAGAAGTCAGATCAAAGCTAGAATTAACAAGAAAAAAGTCGTAACAGACGAAATCTATAGTAAAGATTAGAAAAATTATGTTAACGAAATACTGACGAAGACCAGTAGGTGCAGGTGTGGGTACCATAGATATGATACACTCACAGCCTCAAGTAAATGTTAATATTGGCTTCAATGAAATTTATAAAAAAAAGTTATCGACAATGTAACTAGCCGTAGTCAAAAAAATGTGATTTGTCGCCAGTTTCAGACGACTATGATACTCAAGTGGCAAAATCTTACTCATAGAGACTTACGTTAGAAATATAGTTTTCGAGTACGGCCTTAAAGACTAATAACTTTGGACTGTATCACGTAAAACTTCGATATGATATACATCTCTTGTATGTGGCACATTTCAGACATGGGAAATCGGCACACACGTCGTCATAAAATTCATGTTGAACCCTCGCAGGAAGTCAATGCTGTTTCCACCTTGTCGGACACCAATAATGTCGACATCGAAAATGTTTTTATTATTTGGTTAGAAATGCCTTTCAACAATCGTGTCAACCATGATGATTCTGTAGAATTACGGCGTCGTTTGCGTCGCGTATTTCCTCATATCCAATCATTCTGTGATTCACAAAAATGTAATAATCATATAAAGAATGCAAAACTGAAATCTGATCAAAAGTTTATTCTGATTTTCAGTGGTTTAATAATTCGTTCACATGTTATGAAATTCTACAATATACCATCCGTTGCGCTAATTTATTTTTGTGTATATTCTGAAAATCATCTATTTTATAACTGGATTCACAATAGTAACGATAAAATTCGTGGTGTTTTCAATCAAACCGATCTTTTATATGATCAGCTGCTAAATGACTTGCGAGTGAACATTAATAAAGACTTACAGTGTTTACCGATAACAGTTTTTAGTAATGGCAGTATAGAAACGTCAACACATATGATAAATGCGGATTATTTATGGTTGCAATTGCTGATAGAACTCATAATAAATATGAATCATACTGAACAAGCAAAAGAACAAATGTTGAATGAATGTCGTTTGGCTTATGAAAACGATGAAAATGGACTACAAGCAATCGAGTTATTTCGCTCAACTTATACATCCGATCAAGCTATTAAATGGTATACAGCTGATTCGTTCATATATCGTCTATTGAATCGAACTCTTCGATATCGTGAAAATTTTGAGAATGTCTATAAATTTCGATATTTTATTGCTGATCTACATCGTCAATTGAGAAAAATGCAGGGTAATTTTAAAGCGACAACTGTCTACCGCGGACAAATGATGAACAAACATGAATTGGATATGTTCAAAGAGAATCGTGGTAAATGCATGTCGGTAAATACATTTTTATCTACTACTTTAGATGAAGCTGTTGCCAGATGTTACGCTGGTGATGGGGAAGAACGACCCAAACTAGAGTCAGTCTTATTTGTTATTCATATAGATTATTCAATTACAAATATCAAACCATTTGCTTCTCTGATGGATGATACACGCTTTAAAGATGAAGAAGAAGTTTTGTTTTCAGTGGGTAGTGTATTCGAAATTTCTGAACATATTGACCTTATCAGCGGTACGAATATCTGGAGAATTGAGTTGAAAACGTCGAATATCCAAAATCAACATGTAATCGATTTGATGAATTATTTTATGGATGAAATATATTACGACACTAAAGACATGGTTTTGGGTAAATTTTTGATTTATATGGGAAAATACAAGGATGCAGAAAACTATTTTAACGATATTCGTCGTCAAATTGTCGACAACGAGCAAAGACCGTTCTATGTGCTCGATTTACACATGAGTTTGGGCGTTGCTTATCACTACCAGACCAATTATATTCAAGCCGAAGCATTATATGATCTTGTAATTAAACACTGGATATATCAAACAAATTTAAATTATTTGAAATGCCGAAATCAGTTGGGTAAACTATATCTTGATAAAGAATGTTATGATATGGCTGACTTCCAGTTCGACTGTGTTTTGTCTTCTTTAAAAGAGTATAAGGAAAAAAATCAAAAAAAGTATTGTTTATTGCTAGCTGAAACATACATCAATATAGCATCGTCACAACTTGAAGCTGATAATAGCTACGTTTTCGAATCAGAAAAAGTGTTCCAGTTATTATGTTTAGCGGAACAAATCTATAGAAAAATTTTACCAAGAAATCATCCACTGTTTGCTGAATTACGTTATTATTTTGGTTGCGCCTATTTTAAAAAGGATATCAATGATATGCGAGCTTTAGACAATCTTCAACATTCCATGAATATACAATTATTATCGTTACCAAAGAACCATATACAACGTGTAAAAATACATTTTCGTCTAGGAAAATTTTATTTTGCACAGAAACAATATTCAGAAGGACTACAAGAATTTGGGAAAATAATCGATATTCAGGTTGAACTATTAGATGAAGCGGATATCAATCATCCCTTAATAACGAAAACCTTCACAGAATTGGGCTTATATTATCAGAAAATTGATCGACTTATACAAGCATTGAAATATTTTCAGCTCGCATTGCAGCAGAATTCAAATGAAAAGCTCGAACCTCGTTTGGAACTCGACATCGAGATATGTAAACAAATTATAAAATGCCACATGGACGCGTTCGCAATGAATGATCTTTCTATATCTACACGAGAAAATAATCATGATATTAGACAACTAGAAATCCTTTGCTATCAAGATGATAATGAAAATATTTTAGACATGGCAATGGAATTGCAATCAACAGGTGTTCACTTTTCAAACTTTGGAACAAAGCTAAAATTTGATCGGTCGTTAACGTTGCAACAGACGAGAACTCTGTGTGGCTTTGTTCGTAATGGTTCAGATATTCAATACCTAATCTTTTTAGATGGAGTGTGTGAAGACGAGGTAGGATGGATGCACTTAACTGATGCATTGGCTGTAAATGATACTATGCACAGCCTTTCTATTTCTCAGAGCATGTCTCATTCACATAAAATTTCCAAGAACGTTTGTCAGGCTTTTGCTACAGCGATTAAGGTTAATAAGACATTAACCGAACTAAGCCTAACTAATTTTTCCAATCCTCGGATGACATTACTATTATTCGATGCCTTATTGGATTGCAGTCGATTGTTGACAAATCTGTGTATTTCCGAAATTAAAATATCAAACAAAGCTGCTCAATATCTTAGTGAAATGCTAAAGTGTAGCAAAGTGATTGCTCAAATTGATCTGAAGAATACTAAACTCACATCGTGTGGTAGTAAATTCATCGCCTTTGGATTACAAGTTAATGACAGTCTAGTTTCTCTGAACTTATCTCATAATGAAATCCGCTGCCGTGGATGTCGTGCGATTGGCAATGCGCTGAAACTGAACAAAACTTTGTCCACCCTTTATATATCTTACAATAAAGTGAAATCAAGCGGTATGCAATCGATCGGAGAAGCATTGTCAATAAATCAAAGTCTAACAAAACTTTTTTTGAATGATAATAATATTGGTTGTATCGGCGCTGCATATATTGCTAGTGGTTTAAAAAGTAATAAAACGTTGAAAATTTTATCGCTATCATTTAACAAAATATCTAATTATGGTGCTACAACTCTTGGTGATAGTTTACGTATTAACACAACATTATATCATCTCGACATATCGCACAATTTGCAGTTGTTATCGTCTAATAGTTTATCTTTTGCGGAGGGTATTCATTTGAAGATATTACATTTAAGCGGCATTCATTTATGCGACAGTGAATTGCAGTTTCTAGTGAGTAGTTTGGTAAGCTCTACCAATCTGACCAAACTAGAATTGGAATTTAATGAATTAAGTGCCGATGGCTGCATATTCATTGAACACCTACTGAAAAATAATAATACTCTAAATGAATTAGCATTGAGCTATAACAAACTAACTGACTTGGGTCTCAAGTATATTTGCGAAGGTTTAGCTGTGAATAAGGCATTGGAAACTATTCATCTAAATTCATGTGCAATCACTGACTATGGAATGGATTCCATTAGTGAGATGCTGAAGAAAAACAAAGTTCTAACGCGACTTAAACTGCGGGATAATAAAATCACTGAAATTGGTGTAGATGTACTAAAAGAATCGTTGAAATTCAATAGAGTATTAGAACAACTTAACACCGATAGCTTTGAAATAACAGAAACAGACCGTTACTCAGAATTAGACAAAAATCAAACAGAAATTGCTCAAGCGCAAACAGTTATAACCACTATTGCAAATTTCTTTGGAGCAGAACAAAAGAATAGAAGTGAGCTTTATGATACTCAATTAGAGGATATTTCAAATGAAATATTAGTCGATAATACTGACAATAGTAGCGTTAAATATATATACGACGAAAGCGGATTGTGTGTGAAACATATTGTTAACGAGTATGATAATTTACTTGTAGTAGATGGTGACGCTTTACTCCACCAACAATCTCTCTACCGAAAAGAAATTTTAAAAGATGGTAATAACTTTTTTCGTGCGATTAGTGATTGCATACATGGCAATGACAGCCGCTGTGATTTTTATCGACAATGCGCTATTGACTATGTAAAAAAAAATCCAAATGAGTTTTATGAACATACATGGTGCTTTAATCCAACGTTATCCGTCGATGATTATTTAGTTAATATGGCAGATAGTACTAAACCAGCTGATACAGTATTAATAAGATCATTATGCCAACAAATGAATGTGAATTTGATCATGCATCGTCTAATTTTCCAGCCAGTTATTATTTGTGTGAACGAAAACAACAGAGATGGAAAACAATTACATCTATACACATCTGATTTTGGAAAATATTTTGATAGTGTTCACTCACATATGCAACCTGATGAGACATTGACTAATATATTTATTGAACCTAATCATTGTACCGAAGATCCATTGTTTTTTTTCACCCGCTCTTTTTAAAATAATAACAAACACTAAAACAACTTCTACTTAAACAACTCATTTTTGACATGGTATTTTAAGATTTCAAAAAATATACTTCAGAGTGGGTGTGGGTCTAGTTCTGTATAATCTTCGTGTTCACTCACACCCCACGTACACCCACACCCACACCCTCAAGATCAGTGCCTATTACTGACCACAAATATGTTTTTGATTATATTCACTAAAATCATATGGACGATTTACTTCTGTAATATTTTCATGACGGTATTCCAATTCAATTATTATTCAAAGGTTCTCCTCACTGAAAAATAAAATATAATAGATGATTTAATTCAGCTTGTAGATCGTATAGAAAACTATTGAATCTGAAAGCGTAGATGTAACTGACTTTACCTTCTCTTTCATCACGTTTATTTACACCTTCACCTACACAATTTCGTTTCTTGTGTTCTGTCACTACCGTCACGTTGTAAATTGGAGAGAACAAAAAACTGGTTAGTTAGCAAGTAAATGAATACATTTATTTTTTTTTCATTTCTATGGTAGGTCGCTTCAAAAAATAGTATATTTACTTGATATTACGATAATGCCTGCGCTAAAACTAAATAAAGAACTTTATACGCAAATCACGCGATTAAAATTATGTGAAAAAACTAATACAAGTGTTAAGTTTATATTAGAAAAATCACCATTTAATGATGATGACGATGATGACGATGAGCAAGTTACCGATGCAAACTCAAAAGATACTCTTATTATTGGAAGAATATTTCCAAATTCCGAGATATATAGAGAAGGTGCATTTAGAATAGAAATAAAATTACCAGAAACATATCCGTATGACGCTCCTGAAGTTCGTTTCCTTACACCAATTTATCATCCTAATGTTAGCATATGTGGTACGTGAATATAATTCAAATTCATATTTAATTAAACCATAAATCTATTTTTGATCTAGGTCAATTTTCTTATGAAATGCTAAACAAAAGCGTTCGACGGTGGCACACACATTCTTTAGTTGAATTTGTAAAAACTGTTGTCGATCGCATCGATCATCCTGATATTGATTATTCACTAAGTTTAGGTGCGTTATACTTATATTCTTACTCATATTTTCTTGGGTTTTGTTGCTTCGTTTTAGAGTTAGGCAGAGAGTATATGGAGAATCGACTTGAATTCAATCGTAAGGCACTCGCAGTCGTGAGAACCCATGCATTACCACGAAATTAAACTCGGATTCAAAGCAAACCTAACGCCCTTGGTATAATACTTTCTAGTGACTAATAGTTGGTTTTTTCCAACATAAGAGTAAAGAAAAGAAAAAGAAAAAGAAATATAATTACGAATCACCATGCGGATTGTATATTTTGATAGTTTTTCGTTGCTTGTGTTTATCGAAGCATGCTTGTCGTAAAAGCTCATTCAGACTCGGTGTTGGTGCGTGGATGTGGAATGAAAAGATTACCCACACCTACACTCAGCAATATATTTAAACGTTATTAACAACAATATCTAGTCTTATATCTCGAAGATACGGTTGTAAGTGAGGGCTGTGAGTAATCTTATCATTTCACAGTCACACCTACACCCTAAATAAATAACAGTGAAACAAAATTATTTTTTATTTTTGTTTTCTCTTGTGAAGAAAAAAAAATTATTTTACAACATCGATATGGCATTAACAGAACAAAATGCTACATGTATAGTAAACTAAACAAATTAAATGAGAAATATTTCGACATTGTTTCTCTGATCAGTCATTAAAATTCGTTTGTAAGTGTGATTCAACGCGATTCTTTCTAAATTTGGGATAAATTTTAATTATTTGAAGTATAACAAACTATAAAATAGTGCTTAAATCAATAATTAAACCTATAACTGTTGATATAACTGTTATTGTAAAATCATTCTTTCCAATATATGAATATGTATATTGGATTGGATAACATTGATTACAATAATTTCTATGTGATGTTGTACTCATTCATTGCTCATCCGTCATTTTTAAGAGAGTATCATTAATAGTTGTATCAATTTGCTATAGACTAGATATTGTTTGGTCAAGTCCTGTTAAATTAAGATTTGCAGAAGATGAATTAAGTGCATACCAAAGATCATCAGCACAAGATTGACTGTAGAAACAAAATGAGATTTGATTGAAGCTTTGCCTCAATCATGAAACAACCAAAATATAAATCTGGGATCGAGTATTTGATAGTATTACCTGTTGGAGCAGTGTAAATTTCCATTTGATTAATACATTGAGAAGTATCTTGACATGAGCAATACGATGATGATGATAATGATGAGTTTTCTTACACAGTAAATATTGTCGAAAGACTAATACTTTTCTTATCAGGTATATTAATATTAAACATCATATCTGTTCTACATGTTGCAAAAAGAATGTTCCCTTAAATCATATCTCGTACTAGCCATAGAAAAGTATAAAATTTGATTTTAATTGATGAAATAAAATATTCAATAGTGGATTGAATGTGTTCTTTAAATAAATTTATTAATATAATATGAATATGAAATTCATGAAATAAAGACATCAAAATTCTATTTTTATTCGAAAATGTAGGAATTTATTCAATTACTTTAGTTTCAATTTTTATCATAAGAAAAAAAATCAATTTTATTCATTGACAACAGAGATATTTACATTAAATTAGATCACTTTGTGCCAGGAAACATGACGGGCATCCTTTCGATGCATGTTTCTATCCTGTATTATAAGTGCATACCGATATGAAATGTTAAATGCGACGCCATTTCTTTATCTGTTCTATATAAAGACGGCCAAATGCATTTTAATGTATTGGCGATTTATTGAATAAAGCGCTGACTGAATGAATATGTCTAATCTCGATCTTTTTTTAAAGATATATTTCAATCAGTCGGTTAAATTATATTTGTTATTTTTTCTAGTCAAAATTTTTCATAGATTATTTATTGTATATATAAAAGATTTTTTCTTTTCGTTTTTAGATAATGAAAATGAATAGAAAAACAAAATTAGAAGATTTATCAAATGAAATATTTTATGAAGTATTTGATTATTTACATATGTTGGATATATTTATTGGTTTCAGTTCATTAAATCAACGAATATGGCATATGTTAAAATCGATTCCACTTCATATTAATATTTCATTGGCAAATTCTCGTAAACAAATTGATTTTCTTTTGTCGCATTTAACTTTCCATGAAGATCAAGTTATTTCAATAAATACTTCAGATCGAATTCGTGATCATTCATCTGTAATTCATTTATTATTTAATCGACATTATTTTATTAATTTAAAATCATGTAAATTATTATTAATTTATTCAATGACTAAACTTAATAATATTATTAAACAAATTGGAAATCTTAATAAACTTGTTATACTTCAAATATATCAACCAGATCGTTCAGATTTAAATGAAAATAATAATGATGAATTAACTCGAATATTATTAACAAATAAATCATTATCTCTTCGTGTACTTAAAC